GTCGAGGGTTCGAATCCCGCCATTCGACTATCGTGAACCATATCCTAGCACAAGCCTAGAGCTTAGTTAGAATGATTAAAGGAAATATTAGTAAATTAACAAAAATCTACTAATATTTACATAAGTAAAAGAATTGTTCTTTTTTTAATTATCTCTGTTCTAGCGTGACGGAGTCTACCAGAATACGGGTCTGACGCTACAAGCGTACAACGCGAAAATAATGGACTTCGGCAAATGTCAGAATATCACACAGAGATTTGGGGTGTTCGTGACACGTAACTTCTTCTGCATGTCGCAGATTGGTCGACGATCTCCTTGCACTGTGAGTACTTGCGTATATTCTTCCTGTATTATAGCTCGTGACTGTCCGCGTGAAATTAAAAATAATAAAAAATATAGCCAATGTTACTCACAGATAAATTACCTTTCTACCGGTGAAAGAATTTTTGTAATCGGCCCAGTAGTTTTTGAGTTAATGCAATACATACAAACATACAAGTCTTTCCTCTTTATATTGTATTAGCTGTTCCCCTGCGACTTCATCCGCAAGATATTATGAAAATTTTACCTTATTATTTACATGTGTCAAAATCAATTGCAAATGTCAAAATACCAATTACCTTACTATGGCAATTTAGCTTTCTTGATGTTGGCAGCAACTTATGGTTTCTTTCCCACAGTTAGGTTTTTATCCATAATATTTACTCCCTAAGTTTAATGGCGTAAAAATATATAGCCTAAAGCGTGACGCAAGAAAAAGGCTTTTTATTAAAAAAATAATTATTCAAAAATATGCTGTGATTGCTGACATCTTAGGCAACAAAGAAGTGTGTGTTTACGCTTTATTATAATAGTTTAGAAGTATAGATAGATAGATCTAGATAAGTATAAGTATAGATCTAGATAGAAAATAAAAAAAGATAGTATAGATAGATAAAGATAAGTGTTTTAAATTTGTTTTATTTGTCAGCGCGACACAGGCGCCCCCGCGGTTAGTGACGGCGTGCTGTGGGGACTAGCGTCGTGGGGTTTACGAAAATTGTAAGTTGGAAATCTTATTAATATTACAAATGCGAAAGTTCAGATAGTAGTTCCTTTTGTTAGGAATAAAATTAGTACCGTGCTATAGAATGCGCAACTCTAGATTATCGGCATAAACGTCACGTCCCTAGCTGACAGCTGTCAATGTCACTAGAAGTATGGATAGATTGGCGCGCATCGAGAGTCTGGTGAGAAGTATTGCTCTGAGTTTAAAGCGACAGTATCAATTAAATAAGTTGTCTAATACCACCTTTGTGTTCCCGCCCCTCGTTTGCCCCCTTGTCATATAAAAAAGCTGTATTCTTGCGACTCTCCCAATGAAGTTTTTAGCTTAGGAAATGTCTGGCAATGTTAGTCCACGTAATAATGTTTTTAGCCATGATTTCTTTTCACGTCTAATGCCTCTCTTTCCTGAGATTTTGTCAATGAGTTCGAGATAATGTTTCTTGTGTCGTAAACCCAGAGCAACACTTCTCGTGAGGACTCAGAATGCGCGCCAATCTATCCATACTTCTAGTGACATTGACAGCTGTCAGCTAGGGACGTGACGTTTATACCGATAATCTAGAGATGCGCCCATGCTACAGCACGGTACTAATTTTGTTCTTAACACTACGTTTCTCATCTACCGTCAAATCCACTTCCTGTTCTCATCCTCTCCTTATAAGAAAAGGGTGGCAAAGAGAAAGGGACTTAAATATTTGCAACAATTCAAATATATGAAGAACATTTCTTTAGATGCGGCACGGAGCGTTTCCCGGCAATGTTCACGTACTTGGCGGCAATGCCGATAATGAACTTTTTAGAGAACACGACACGGCAACTCATGGCCGACAAGAGGTACTACCCCTACTCGGACAGGATCGCAGAAACCTGGATAAAGGAGCTTATGGTCAACAGGTCTATGACTAAAGCTGGCTGAATTAAATAAATTAAAAAAAAAGCCTTTTATTTCCAGCCAGTTGCAACTTAGTGATTCTTGTTTTCAGCATTTAGCATTTTTTAACTATTATATTTTTTAAAAAGAGAAAGTTAATGGATACAAAGGTAGAGGAAGACCGAAGAAAGTATGGATTGTGTGAAAGAGGATATGCTTAAAGGAGTGGTTTCAGATATGGCTGATAGAGATGTATGGAGCAGCACATACTGTGCCGACCCTCCGTAAGGGATAAGGGCAAGTGGATGATGAAATTTTTTGGTACAAATTAGGAAATTAGAAAAAGTAAGTAAAATTAGTGATAGGAGTTTTTTGCTTTATGTTTCGGTACTTTCACGGGTTGAATTATGACTAATTAACGGTCTTACCATAAACATTAAGACAGTGTTTTAATTTAAACAATAGCCCTTTGATGCCGCGACACTAGCGCCGCGTGGGATTTATTTGACAAAACATGGGTATTGAAGCATCCGTAGACTTCCAAAATGCGATAAAATCTCTACTAATATAATAAATCGTAAACACTCCTTTGTTGTAGAAGCAATAACAGTACATTTTTAAAATTCCTTTTATTTAAATAAAATATACCCTTGCTCTTACTACATGCAATAGTTGCATTCTTTGTTATTTAATTCTTTCTTTTTGTAAATCAACGTGTGAAAATGTTTACTTATCTGTACTATTATAATAAAGCGTAAACACACATTTCTTTGTTGCCTAAGATGTCATTTACAGCATATTTTTGAATAATTCTTTTTTTAATAAAAAGCCCTACACTTACGTCACGCTTTAGGCTATAGATTTTCACGCCATTAAACTTAAGGGTAAATATTTTGGATAAAAACCCTAATGTGGGAAAGAGACCATTAGTTGCTGCCAACATCAAGGAAGCAAGGATGCCATGTTATGTCATGTCATTTTGACATTTGCAATTGATAATTTGACAATTGTAAATAATAAATTTAATAAATTTAACAGTGGTAGTGCCCGCTTTAACATCTTAGCACGGATGGGCCGGCACGCCCGGTGTAATACCACGACCACACAGAAGACAGGCGTGAAATAGAAGCAATTCCGTGTTTCGTCTGATGAGTGTGGTGCCGGAGGCCTAATTTAAGTCCCTTTCTCTTTACCACCCTTTTCTTATAAGGGGAAGTTGGGAAGGGGAATGGATTTCACGATGGAGGAGATGCATAGGAAGGGGAAATATTCTCTTTATGTGCGTCTCCTCCGTCGTATAAGGGTAGGCAACGCATCTGCAATTGCGGATGTCTATGGGCAGCGGTCGCTTCGCCATTTTGGCGGTTTCAGGTGGCCGCTTGCTCGTTTGCCACCTTATGTTATAAAAAAAAATAATAAAATGATATTTTCATAATTTTTTGCGAATGACGTCACACGGGGACAGCTTCGGGAGAAATTAATAAAACAACTTATGTATATGAGCATATTTATATTTTTCTTTTTCAAAATTGTAAAACTCACATTTTGAAATTGCAAAATTATAACTAAATTCTCATATCGTTAATAGTAACAATCGCCATTTTGTAATTTTCCTCCACATTTTTTTTGTATTTCTCTCGAACTAATAATAATAGTAAACCATTTATACATCTCTAATAATTATATATTTTTAAATTCTAACAAATTCATTCTCTCAACGTTCCATTCTTAGTTTTCTTTCCAACATCAACTTTCTCGTATCTCTAATTAACTTTTTTTTATAATCTAAACATACTTTTTACAATTTCATCGATTTACAAGATGACTTTTGCCGCACCCGATGTTTAATTTAGCAAATATTGGAATGGATTTATATAAAAAAAACTATATAAACTTAAAATTAAACACTTAATACATATAAAAAAACAAAATTGTACAAATACTAAACAGTATCAGCAATTTCACGTTTTGTTTAAATTCAATTCGATTCTTTGGCAATTTTTGTATTCAAAAGTGAATTTACAATTTTTTTTTATAAGAAACTGGCAAAAGCGATTACACTATTGAGAAAAGACTGGCAAATGTTTATCAACTATTCTTATTACGATTGCGGTCTCGCCACAAACAGCTGTCAAAGTCAAACTAACCTCAAAGTGACGGAAACGTCCGGAAACATCTCAATTTCAACAGCTGTCAGTATGGGAGCGGGAAAACGAGAAGCAACGAAATAAGCATTTATTAAAACTTGAAATATTAATTGGATTATTTTAAAAACTTACAAACGAAAAGACGTACTAATATTAAAAATTAGCTGAAAACTGGCCGAACTTTGTACATCGACTTAAATTGTAATATTCAACAATTGATAATACAACAAGAGGTATGGTTTTTTCAACAAAAATTTAGGCCAAAAATTGAAATATTTGATAAAAAGGTTTCTTTACAACAAATAGAATAAGTTTTGTACACAGTAAGCACTATAATTCATAACCTACCTAAAGTACTTGGCCATAGTCTATGGTAACAGATACAAATATTGTATTGAGCAAAGCGAAAACAATAAAAAAATAACATTAAAATCGATTTACCATTCGTGATCTGTCTTCCTTACTTGAAATTCAAAAGATTAATGCATCGAGAAAGATTAGAAAGATTTCATGGATGGAGCCAATCACGATTTTAAATATAAGAAAGATAAATAAAACATTAAATGGATATAAATAGAACTACAGCACTATACAAATCAACAAATAAATTCGTGCTCCTTACATCTAACGCCTCTATTTCTTTCATTACTCTATGACCATGTTGAAGTGATCAGTGTTGCCAGATGTCGCTACATTCGCTCGCCTTAAATCCAAAATGGCCGCTAAACCTCACCGGGCAAGAAATCATTTTTAACCTAACACTACAATCTCCCTGATTTTTTTTCTTACATCTAAATATACACAAAAATAATTTTGTACTCTTTTAACGAGTTAACTGTGGACTTCGAGTGACGTCACTTGTATGCTATCTCTGTTTAATTCCAAGGAAATGAAAAAGACGGCAATACAAGTGCACTCCAAGTCCACAGATATAGCAACACGCATGTATGGCAGCTTTTGATTGCTGAATATAAAGATCTTTTTAAACTCGTAATATTCTAATGATTTTAAAAAGTGAATTATTCAATATTGCAGACATCGGCCAACTAGGCAAGCAGTAATATAAAATGCCGTCATTTTCTAATTCCCTAGTAACAAGACCTCAGGTCTTTAATGATTTCTCATTTGTTTGCACTTAAAATCGCTAAATATCCACTATATGCCCCTTAGGGAACACTAAGAGACTGTTTAGTAAATATAAAACGATTTTAAATTGATCAATTAGTGAAATATAAGTTCACGTTTGATTGTAGAAAAAAAATGTTTTGTAATAAATTCCGCCATTTTTAATTTATTTCAATTGAAGTCAATTATAAAAAAAATTCAACTCCGTCATTTCAGAATATAGTTGACTCCAATATTAAATACAATTTTACTAAAATTGTAATTTTTTAAAGAATTTTTCATTTGCATGTAACAGTGTTAGAGACATATATCATTTGTTGATAAGAAAGAGTGAAACAGAATATATATAAAATTTTCGTATATAAATTGGATTAATAATAGTTTTTTTTAACAATTATTACCTTATAAAAAAAAATTTAAGCTATTTTAGAACATTTTAGTAACTTTTATTGGATCCTAATTTTTTTGATGGTACCAGGAGTACATAACCTTGTAGGTCTTCTATCACTGTTACACAACATTTCAAGAGCGCACTTTGACTAAACTATCGCAAAACTGTTCGATTGTCGATTGTTTCGCAATCCATTGAACTAAAAATCGAGTTGTACACCCAAGTTCATAGAAATCAAATTGAGACGAAACAGTTGTGCGATAGTTCAGTATGTACGGTCTAAAAATATCCAAACTTGAAACCGAGCAGGTTGG